AACTACATTTTGACAAATCATCAAAAAATTCCGTGGATTTAAATTAAAACACCCCATCTACCTTAAAAGAGATAAATTATGTCAAAAACAGTGAACACTTTAAATGTCAAGTAACAGATAACAGGAATCCATTTTCATATAAAACAGTTAAGAACATTGCCAATTTTAACAAAACAGATAACAGACAGTGGGTTGAAAACAGTTGACAGCTTCTATATATTTCAAATAACAGTTAAGAACACCTTGAAATAGCCCAAAACAGGTTAACAGAAAAAGGTATTGCCCCCCCCCCCCCCCTCCTTTATGGAACATGGTGAAAATTTTGTAACTGGGGAATTGATCCATCAACAAAAGAGACCGCTGTTGCTTAAAATAGAACATAGGGATAAAATGCAGTTTGCGGCTAATATCTCAAAAACAAAAGACGTAAGATTAAAACTGACACACGTTAAAACTATTCAATAGGACAAGGTCTATCTCCAATAGAAATTTAAAAAAAAAAATCATACAACCCATTTTGGAGTTATTGTTCTGAAATGTCAATTTTAGCAAATTTCTCATATTTTCCTCATATATTTTAAAAAACATTATAGATTGAGAGAAACTTAAATAGGTACAAATGACTAAAACAATAAGATCTCCTTGGAGATCTTACCCACGTTTGAATTTTTTGCAGAAACAAAAATAGACATAGAGCGTAAAAAATAGCAAAATTTAGCAAATAAAGGTAAATAGATGATTTATTATTTTTACCGAATTTTGCTGATACTATAATAGATAGAGAAAAACAGTAAATAGCAAAACTGTTCAGCAAAATAAGATCTACAAATAGATCAACATTTAAATCTGTATACTATTAAGACTTACATTTGTCATATATAAAGGAATCTTTTGTCCAAATGATATAAGTTACAACCTCACTTTGATATTCATTTCTTGTTTGATCGTTGTAAAAAATATCTTTTTCATAGAATGATATGTTTCATTCGGGTTTTCCACGATTTTACTATTTCGTCTTCATGATTATAATTGCACAGATTTCTTTCATGAAACAAGTATATACATTCTGTATGTGCCTGTCCCAATGTCAGGAGCCTGTAATTCAGTGGTTGTCGTTTGTTGCTGTGTTACATATTTGTTTTTCGTTCATTATTATGTTCTTAAATTAGGCCGTTAGTTTTCTTGTTTGAATTGTTTTACATTTGTCATTTCGGGGCCTTTTATAGCTGACTATGCGGTATGGGCTTTGCTCATTGTTGAAGGCCGTATGGTGACTTAAAGTTGTAAATTTCTGTGTCATTTGGACTCTTGTGGAGAGTTGTCTCATTGGCAATCATACCACATCTTATTTTTTATATCACAGTCATGAATTGCTTCTCCTTCCCATTACATACAATTTAACTTCTTTTTGTTTTTGAAATCATCCTACTCAAGTTTTATTTTTTTTGTAATGTGTTGGAGCTTAAATTGTGTTATTGCCTTAATAAATGTCAATAACTACAAGCAAAAGTATCGAATTTTGTATTATTTTTCTTAATGTAAGTTGTATGGTTGGGTTCAGTCTTACATTGGTCCCCGTCCAGTATTTTGCAATTTTGGGAATTGTTCAAAATATGTAAATTACGGAACCAACCGAATTTAATACAAAAATGCGCTTCAATTGCAATGAAACCGATGGGGAAGCTTTGATGTATTTTTTTATAACGATATTGAAGTTGTAGGGACAATTTGCCAATGAATTCATTTCACGACATTTAAAGAAAATCTCAGTTAAGTTGTCAGTTTTACAGCTTCATATGTGAACTTTAACACCTGGTTTAATCTCACAATGTTTTGTGTCTTCACTAAGTCATGTGATGAATGTTGTTGTTTGTCACTTTGTAGATCTTCGTTTTTCGTCGGAGTTCAGTATTGGTGTTCAATATTTTTCCAAAATTCATACAGAAAATATTATTTTTATTTTACACTAGGTTTCGTCAACTTTCTGATTTTGACCCTTTAAGTTAAACAAATATATCAGACATTTGCCGTACCTTTTTACTTGCCAATTATCTATAGAAATTTCATTGGTTTTTTATGCGTATTTCCCCCTTAATATACATTCCAGACTATGATTTGTTGAAATAGTAATTTTGTACTCCGTGTATGCTGCTATATTCATTGAGAATACAACCATCGATATGGAAGTGTTTGTAGGTGGAACAACCCTTCACGACACATGTGGGGCTCTTTAAATGGACAAAAACATGTGTACATTTGTAATTTAAAAACAAGGCGGTGATATAGGTATCATTCATGTATTATTCTAACAAAAAGATATTTCATTATTCTCTTTATTTTGTTGTCCTTCTTTACATATGGGTGTACTATTCATGTTGAATATTTTTGATTCACAAAGGAAAAAAAGGAAAATCCGTCTTATGTCTGACTGTGTTTCAAATGTTACAGAGAGAATAATAGTTCTGGTTTCTTCAATTTCAGAAATGTCTCAGTTTAATCACAGAAAAATATAAGGAGCGGATCAATCATTTACAACAAACATGTCTAAATAGCACTGATGGCTTTAAAGGTAAATCTACGGATACAGATTTCAAGTTTATAATTTTGATCGAAAAACAACATAATCTATTTTACTGCCAAATTAAGAAGATTTGGACAATTTCATCAAGGATCTACTTAGAAAGTTATCACAGAAAAGTAAAAAAGACAATTTAAGAAATGCGTTTGACGAAAATAAATGGAAATTGTCCGACTTAAATTCAATTATGAAAAAGACTAACAAGATTATGTTTGTTCGTGAACCCTATTCTAGAGTACTGCCTGGATATGTTGATAAACTTTTTGCGACTAGCAATGTTTACTGGGATGTAACATGAAGATCGGTGCTTGCAAAAACTCGAGAAGACTTTGATAATCATTATTTGTCGTGTGGTCATGATGTCTCGTTTCCAGAGTTTGTAAAGTATATAATTAAATCCGAAAAACAGGGTCTAAATCTTGATCGTCATTAAGCACCTTTATACAAACACTGTCGGCCATGTCAAATTTCATACGACTTCATCGGAATATTTGAATCGTTTAAAGAAGATATTTTGTTTTTGTTGGATTATTTGAATATTCAACACGTCAAAAACATAACACTTAGTGATTTTGAGTCTGAAATAACAGAATCAAGAGCTATATTTCAAAGTCAACGTTTGTTCAATATGCGAAAGAAACTTGAACGCTGTGTTTCATTTTACACTGCAACTAAGCGTACATAGAGAAAAATGCAGATAAGAGGTTTGATCTCGATACATAAACAATTTCCATTCGATGCAGAATATACTGAAAGTCAAATGACAAAAAAGAATCATTTGTCGCAGTCAAAAATGCTATTTCAAGTGTAAAAAATATAAGCGAAGTTAAAGCACAGCGTGATGCAGCATTGATCGAAGCATTTAAACTTGTGCCGACAGTCGACCTTTACTCCTTACGACGATTTTTAAAACCTGACTGTGCATTGTTTAATTATAATTCAACGCCTATGAAAATATTTGACAGACAAAATATGGACAAAAATAGTGTTCAATATTTCAATCTGTTTTGAAAATTAGCAATAAACATATTTGTGAACGCATTCAGGTAAAATAAAAGTTTCTATTAAAGAAATATATTCTAGAAGCTTATTTCGATAGATGTCCAAAAATACAATTTTAATGTCTGTCTCTGTTACACATAATTTCTTGTCTCATTGAATAAAATTGTTAAAACATAACCTTCTCAAACAAATTAATAGTATGTATTTTTTAGTAACAAAAATGGTCGTCGTAACAACCTGTCGAGAAAAGCAACATCTTATCCTAACCATTTGTTGATTTGTCAATGATCTGTAAAATGTATAAATATGCTTGATATTATAATATATCATAAATGTTACTACTCGATGTAGCACTGGGACTATTTGTCCGGCTAGCCAAATTATCAGAGGTGGAACTTTTTTCAAGTTATCCAGTGGAATATTGATGCATCCAATTGTCTGGACAAACTCATACTTATGGCTACTGTAATGATGTCTGTCCAAAAAGGTCCTGAATAATCTAATGTGTCGTTGAGGGGGTCTCCGTTTTTTAGTAACACCACAGCTTCTATAAAAAATACTTTGCTGTATAAAATATGAACACATGGTATGATTACCAATGAAACAATTCTCCACCAGAGACCAAATGACGTAGAAGTTAACAACTAAAGGTCACCATACAGCCTTCAACAATGAGCAAAATCCTTACCTCATAAAAAACTTTAAAAGGCCCAGAAATGACAAACGAAAAACAATTCAAACGAGAAAACAAACGGCCTGATTTAGTACAAAACAATAAACGAAAATATAATATACAACAACAAACGACAAGCACTGAATTACAGGCTTCTGACTTGGGGCAGGCACATACAGAAGTGGTGAGGTCAGATATGTCATCGAGCGCCCCACCCTCCCCCTAAACCTGGGACAGTGTATGGTACAACAGAATATCTCAAGTACAAACTATACAAAACAATCAATGAAAAACAAATATGATAAACAGCAAAAACTTGGGACAGGCACATATAGAATGTGGCGGGGTTAAATTGTTTAGCTTTGTAAGTTCAAAGCCAAACATAACGAATAAAAGGTCATGTATCTTAGACAAACATATAAATCAGTACACATCCAACATCCAATGGATTTAATGAAAATACGTCATTAATAGTCAGGGAAAGACATGACCTTGTATAATGCAAAAATATAGGTATCGACAGATTGTAGGACCATGAATGTACATGTATATGTGTATAACAATAATATCACATTCGATTTTAATTGATTGATAATAAAATCAATATCTATACTGATAAAATAAATTGTATTTTTGCATCGTTATCAAAATTAAAAGGACGATAAAACCATGTTTATGCACAACTTAAAATCGTCTATAAAATCAAGATAGTCATCATGCAATTGTTCAACCAATTAACAAAGTAAAGTATTTTTCTATCTTTTATTTAGAGATTGGTGTTTCCCGATTTTATTTAAATCGGTGTAACATTTGATACATTTGTTTTATTTGTTTCCTTACACACACATGTGCATAACACATACATGACAATTATCATTAAAAGAAGATGTCGGATAAACGTGAAATTCAAAATTCAACCAACGATACAAAGGCCTAAAAGCTTTTAGAATTCAACATATTTGTTTCACTCTAAAATAATTCAACATTAGACATACGGATCATTTCATTGACATTTTCTATGTGTATCATCCCCACCAGAAAAAAAAGATGAAAAGATATAGAAATGATGATATTGTTGGCTCGATTTGATTAACTAATAATAACTGTAACGATTCAAATATTGCTGATAAATACTGGCTTCCCCCGGATATTTCCGATTTCAGGTTGATTTAATCGCAAACATTTCATTCAAGTTATTTTGAACAATCTTAATTTCGTGCTATAGTATAGCTTCTCACTAGTAAACCAATTTTTAACTGAAACGGTCATTTTGGTGTGAACTGCTCTTAAAAGACTGACCAATGAATTATTTAAACAGTTTAGTTAATTATCAGACTTATCCACGTTCTTCAAAGGCTAAACAATGAAATATTTAATCATTTTCAGTGAATTATCAGACTTTTCCGCGTTCTTAAAAGGCTAAACAATGATTTATTTAATAATTTCAGTGAATTATCAGACTTATCCACTGCGGTAAAGTCAGAACAGTAACTGTTTAGACAATTCGCTTCCAGGTATTTAAGATCTGTTCAGTCTTTGTTCAGAAGGTTTAGAAGTTGCTTTTTACCTGTACAAAAAATGAAAACAACACTTTATAAATTTCATGCGTGCGAAGTGCTATTCTGGATTTACCTTCATCAGAAATAGCAACATACTGAATACTTTGCAAGTCATATTTCTGAACGGTACTGAATTTTCTAAGAGAAAAAAAAAATCGGAAAATTAACATAAGCTCATCACAAGACTTAACGTTTTTAGGTTCAGAATCTTCAGATGTTGTTAAGTTCATAATTACCATTTAACACCCAAATCAGTTTACTAATCTTAATTAACAGATATATAAGTTTTATCTAGCTTCCAATATCTGCAATTGCAATGTGAGTCTACGTTTGTTTTGTTGATATGTTGATACTTTGGTCTAACTTGATTTTTGCTGACGTATACGTGTCTTTCCATTGGTTCCGTTAACAGTTGATAAGGTTGAGAGCATTTTGAGAATTCCATTAAACATTCGAATGCCTGTATCAAGTTTGAACATTTAGGTCTTTTGATAAAACTTTCTTTGTTGTATTGTTTATATATTTATGTTGTGGAGCTCGACATGTTTTTTAAATGTTTAGTCAAAAACAAATAAAGTGAACTTCAGAAGATGCTGACCCTTTCAGAGTACCTGGCTTTTCAGTCATAAAACTTTACTCAGTACTTGGAGTACAACATTTTTGCTCGAAACACCAAATCCAGTACTTTGATTGGTTGATTTCTGCGTGAGTTCGATAATCGTACTCGAAATGTTTTAGACTGTAAGCCCTGGTCTCACTTCCGGTTTTATGTATTTCATTTTGTACGAACTTTTTTGTTTTATTGCTTCTAAACTTTCCGAGAGGTAAAACTATACATTAGAAAAGGTGCATACGCAACAATTGCACCAATGATAAGTTTTAATCGCTGTTATTTGACAGTTTAGATCGATTTACTTAGAGCTCCACCATTCTAAGGCAAATGTTTGGGTGCATATGTCGTTTTTTTATTATTTTGCTGGTTTTTGTTATTGCTGGACCTTTATGGCTGAAATTTTGAAGATTTATCTATTATATACATAGAGAACATTTTCTTTACCAAATCTTATGTACATATAGAACATTTTCTTTACCAAATTTTATGTACAAATAGAACATTTTCTTTACCAAATCTTGAAGTGGAAGCTTTATGTAGTAACGTGTGTTAATCAAACCTTACACCCAGTAACTTATTATTCTTTCGAATGGCGGAGGACTGCTTGACTGTCTTCCGAATAAAAAAAAAACCCGTGCAACTTTCTTCTCACACTGTGACGACTATATGGTTTTTGCTGAAGTTTTGCAAAAAAAAGAACAATATTGTATGTTTGTCAATGGAAAACTTTTGTCATGATTTAGAGTCACATATTTTTTTGATTTGATTACTTGCAAATGTTGCACATTGCATAATAAATATGAGTATAAAAAAATAATTTTCTTGTTTTTTTTTCTTTCACAATATTTTCTAGACTCATGGTGTAATGCAGAAACCATTTTGCCAAATATTCCACGTAGTATGCATATTTGAAAGGACCAAAGAATATGCATAACAGTTAATTACATACATACACATAATATTTGATGAAAAGTGAAAACTAATTTGCATAGTTTGTTTTACCATGTACCAAGACACAATCCTGAACACACACGCATGTCGAAAGAGTTTTAAGAAGCAAAGAACCTATATCTTTCTCTCATGACTCTCAATAATATGCTTTCATTTAAAAGACTAAATCACTCATTAAACAAATTATTGTTCTCAAATATTGAGGTTATAAAAACTTGGCCTCTTTAAAAGGTATTACATAATTTATATAATAAATCAATTATACCACACCTAGCCAAGCTGTAAACATAGATATAGGGGTTTAATATATGTAAAACGTTAGTTCATAGGAACGCGTAATCATTCACAGGCTTGCTAAAGAATACAAAGTTTTGCCCGGAAACACGTTCCACTGACTGTCCGTTTATTTCTTTCCATAAGAGGGGTTTTCAAATTCATTTGAACTCATCTGTTCATTATTTGATTTATTTCTCCTCCATATTATGCATGCCACAATTAAAGAATCTGTAATACTATAACTGCTATTATTATTCCAAATATGCCACCTGTACTGCTAGTTTTGTAGGAAGAATCTGATGTTACTCCTAAAAGTATATTTTAACATTTGATAAAAGCAAAACGAATTAGACAATACAACGACATATTATTTTATACATTTCAATAGTTCAATTTTAGAAATAACTTGCAGTATTATTAATTTTGATACATTTTGGAAAACCTCCAAATCATTTGATTTATTGATGTCAATCAGATATTAAAATATGTTTTTATAAGCATCATTCGTATTTCGTATATCAATAACAACACAAAAGTATTTTCCAAAGTATTTATCCATCATTTGCCTTCGAATTTTCGGGCTTGAGCGTTCCTAATGAAGGAGAATCCAGAATAGCGCCTCAAACCCACCAACCTTTATAAATTGTTTTCATTTCCCAAATTGTCCTTAAAAATCTTTATCCAAAAGTTAATTACAGACCGAAAATGTTGTTCAAAGGATGCTTTAAGGACTGAATTGAAAAATTATGTGTCACGCTAACTTTTCTTCAGATTTCCAACGCAACTTTAAAATTGCATTTATCCAATTAATTTGAAACTAACCTTTATATACCTGAGGTCATAACGCAGTAGTAAGTACTCAGTCTATCATTTTGTTTAGTATTATCAATTTATTTTAGTGATTTTATTTTGTCTATTATGTATCTGTTCAAAAAGTTTCATTGTCAACTTCGTAGCTTCCTACTTAAATAAAGAACTCATATATTGATGTATGGCTCAAATGACATTAAAAGTAGTATAGATTGTTCATGTCGAATTGACACATTTTAGAATGTAGGTTGTGTTCATCAGAATATTGCATTAAACATTCCTAAATTCGTACTGATAAGACGTTCCAAATCCAAAAGGAACCAAGTGATACATGAGTCGTGTATAAATGCGAAACTCGATATTGAAGTTCTAGTAAATTTACAAACCAGATCCCGATGGTTCTGAAAGTTTATGAATCGTCTTTACGATAGCATCAGCAGTTTTTCCAAGGAAATTGATATTTTCATCGGTCAGCATGACTTGTAGATTATCACATTCATGATGATGACATTGTATCATATCACCTCGGAAATTGGCTGCGAATAAATTGAAATGGCAGTTAGAATTTTACATTTTACATTTTCTTAACAGAACTTTTCAACGTTAAATATTTTCACTATAAGTTAAAATTAACATCTTCAAAATTTCTTGAGCTGACTTTAAAAGAGTTGTTGAATTTTATTTTTTGCATTTCATATATCATAGTGTACCACGCTCATTCTGAGGAAAAATAATAGGGATTATAATTGATAAACATTATAAATAAAAGGAAATACTACAACAAAATGTCTGGAGCTGTTATAATGTGTAATAAGTGTTTGAAGTTACCCGAGTCCGTCAACCAGATGGCTGGATAACCATTTTCCCAGAAATTACCCTGATCACTTTGCATGAAGTTAATGAGAACGTTTTTGTCGTCAGATGGTAAAGTGCTGAACTTTAGAAACGAGAGAGGAAGAGATTCTATTTCATATTTTGCTTTCCCCAGACCTCTCCAAGACGAAAGAAATTCGGCAGCTAAGTATGAATCGTTAGTTGGTTGCCGGTATATCAAATTAAGAAAGTCTCCTCGGAAATTGTCAGAAGCTATACTATCATAGGTTTCTGGAAATGCTGTTTTAAATTGAAAAAATATTTAGATTCATGAAGACTGTACAATATAGAACGGTTAGTGTCATGGAAACAGCAAAACAAGTAATATTTGTTTTTCGTCAATTGTATTAGACCGTTAGTTTTCTTGTTTCAACTGTTTCACAATTTTCTATGTCGGGGCCTATTAAAGCTGACTATACGAAATAGATGTTTCTATTTGTTGAAGGCCGTACGGTGGGTGACCTATAATTGCTTATATCTACGTCATTTGAACTCTGATGTAAAGTTGTCTATTTGGCAATCATACCACATCCTCTCATTTTTATATTTATACAAGGTCATATACAAATCGAATACTCGAAAGCTACTGTTACTACTGAATCTGAATGATGCAACCTTTGAAACGGTTAGTTTTAGTCTATTTTAGTATTATTCGTATGCCTTCTTTTTTGCTTTGCCAATTTATCATGACGTAGCTAAATACAAACTTATCTAGGCTGCTTAGCTTTAATATCAATAAATATATAATAGCATAAAAGGTTTGAAAAATTCCCAGTGGTAATATAAAACTGTACTTGATTGTCGGTATATCAAAACTAAGCAAATCGCTTTAAAGTCAAGGTCCAAAGTTTTTTTCAATTTAGTAAAAGGTTTTAATCAATTTATGAAAGACGTATCCATGTTTTGTAAGATTTTTAATGCTCTAAATTTACAGCTATATCATCAATCATGCATAATGCATCTTCAAGGACTTACATCTTGCTAGACCTTCATGACACATATGGTATTGTCCTCGCATAGTATACCAAACAGAATAGTGTATAGGAGTAATTCACATTACATGCATATGAACCGATAAAGGAGATAGGTATTGAAAACTCTCTTTGGAACCCAACATATACTTCAACGACACTTAATACAGAAGAAATTCTGGACAAAAATAGGTTTAGTTTATTTTTCCTTTGGCAATTCAACCAAACATGACGAAAGAAATCTGCCCTCACTTAACTGGATACATTATAACACAAGTTTCATTAAACAAACAAGTATGTATTGCAAGAGCTGTCAAATGCTCCACTAAACCTCTTTCCATATTACCTTTAAGCGTGAGAAGACACCAAAAAAAGCAATTAAATGCCACAAGTCGAATAAAGGTACCAGGTGAAAAACAATTCTGTCAGCAATCAAACCAGGGCTACTGAGTTGCTATGAAAGTAAATCAGATGTGGATATTAAAAAAACTCCAAAGATCTGTAAGAGTACATACAATCAAGTCTTTCCCTTTTGCAATAGTTTAATTAATATTTTACTTCTCCATCCTTTACACTTCACAAGTCTTTGGCAATTCTTAAATATAAATTGAGTAAAAATATAGTAGTTACGCTTTGTATGGCAATAACGTATCAATTACATATAAAATCGACAATATGTCTATCTGTTAATTAGATGATTCTATCATGGGCAATTTTTAGGCCTCATAAACTTGGATTTTTCTTTAAATATAGCTTCAGAAGTGATCAAAGAACGATTGATTTATCTAACAATATGATCATTGAATACACTAGGTATATTAGTACAAGTAAATCCTAGTATTGAAGTTAAACAAAATAATGGATGGAAAGAAGCTATACTTGCGACAAACTATTAGGATGGAAACTAGCTATCTTCTATGAATGAAACCGAGTCAACAATGCATCCATTGATTTATAGATAATGAAAAATGAAAAAAATGAAAAAAACTCTGCGACCTTAGGAGCTATATGATACAATTTTGTTGAAGATTTTTTTTACTCTCCTTTTGATATCTTCGAAAAGAGGAGCGCTTATGTTCTTGCGTACGTTTATGATAAACATGTCCAGTTTCGCAACACCAAATCTTGTTTTTTAACAGTTAAATAATTAATGTAAACATGAAGCTTTTCGATGAAAAAAAGAGAAAGTTGATATAAGATTTACGGATAACATGAATTATCAAAAGTTTTGAACAGTACTATAAACAACAGCAACCACCAACATATGACTCCTCCAAAAAAAATATAGACGTACAGAGACCAGCAACAACGAAAAATACATTGTTTAGATAACCTGACTTGGTAAAGGAACACAATGTGGTGGGGTTTAACAAGTTTTACGTCTAATATACCTGCATTTATTTAGATCATATGTCAAGCTACCAGTTCAGTTTTTTCATAATTTTTGTTCATTGAACAGATAAACAGATGAATAATTATTTAAACAATAGTAATGGTAAATATCTTAAATATTTGGTTCAATTAAATGGGATTTTATTTCCTGTATAGAAGTAATTGATATAGCATACCGCGTCTACTATTTGTGGTGGAATCATCTGAGATCTAGCCGAGGTATTATATTCCATCATAGTGTCCAATATAATTACTCCATGCATCACTAGTGGTATTGCATCGACATAATTTATACTTAACCATGCAGGTACCCATGTCTGAAGAAAATGTCGGCTTCCAGCCAGTGGGACTTGAGGCAGTTTGCAACCTATCGATTGGTAGCAAGCTGCAGTAAAAAATGAAAGCAATTTGATTTCTGCCATTCCTTAAAGCATTACAGCAGTTGTATGTAACATCGTTTTGTTTCAACATTACTTGACATTATAAAGTAATTAATTTCGAGTCTTCACGAGATAACATTTCTGAAATGTTAGTCTGGGAAACATGATTTATTTATTGATTGTAAACTTTGACCTATTTTTCAAAGATCCGTACTTTGTGTCTTTTGTCTTTTTGTAAGTTGTTTAGAGTTCTTCGTGCACTTTTGAACTGATTTTTACAGTCTGTTCTGATTTTGTACTGTTACACCGCTGCCATAGGTAATTGAAGGACTGAGCGCTAATAAACGTGTTTGACCCCGCAACATTTGTATGTGCCTGTTAAAAAGTAGTTGTCGTTGGTTTCTGTCTGTCATATTTGTTTTTCGTTTATTGTGTTAACATTAATCAGCCAATGGTTTTTCTCAGTTTCTCATTTGAATTTTTTCACAGTTTAGTTTAGTTTGAGGCGTTCGATAGCTTACTACGGTATGGGTTTTGCTCATTGTTGAATGGCGCACGATGAACTATTATAGTTGCTTACGTCCATGTCATTTGGTCTTTTGTGGATAGTTGTCACATTGGCAATCGTGCCACAATACAAGTTTATCCTCCCAGTTCACATTATTTCTTAAGCTAATTTATATGTGTTATTTTCAGTTCATTGTCCTTCAACATATCTTTCTTCAAAATATCCATTATTTGGTTTTGAACCCATATTTCGAGAAATGATATATGAAAATGCATACATGATGCATTAAATTAACTTTGATATCTGGTAGTACAATACTGTAAGATAGGAAATATTCGCGAAGGGAATAATTTGCTATATCCGATTGCATAATTGTAATCCTTAAGGAAGATTGTCAACAGAAAAAGAGATAAAACAACGTGAAATAAAACTTCGCGAATATGGTTTGCACTAGAATCGTGAAATTTCAACTCCGCCAAAATAACCCCAACCCATTTTACTGTATTCTATTGAAGAATATTGTAGTAGTGTAGAGGCGAAAAATATAAATAATCCGTAAACCTTCAAAGACCTACTGATATTAACATATTGAATATCGATATTTTTGTTACCTTTTTGCAAACGACCGAAACTAAACTCAAACCCTGACGAGGTGATTATTGAATAGAGTGATCTACACATTTCAGCTAACTATACTGACTACCTAAGCCGTTTTCCCCAATGAGGATTCTGATAAAATAACTATCTAAGACTGTGCCTTTGAAGAAAATAAAGTAAATTTAAACAACTTGTTGCAATTTGATTAAAATTTCGAACAGTTTGACTCAATAAAATACAATTAAAATATTTTACTTATAAAACACCTTTAGAATGAAAGACGTGTAAATATTAGACTTGCGTTTCTCAATTTGATAGATGCTTTAAGTCAATATTCAGCCAGGTTGTTGATAATATCTTTTACCGACATGTGGTTTAAATTTTCTTGCTTAAGAATAAGGGGCAAAACTCTTTCAAATTTAGAAAAAAAAACTATATAACACTGTTTAAGTTTACATGGACTAAACACATAATATAAACATACATCCATATTCTTCCAAATCAAACGCTACAAAAATGATTGTATTTTCCCTTTTGACACCATTTCTGTTCATATCAGTCAATTGTCTAACAACTTCTAACATGGCTGCAACTCCTGCTCCATTATCATCAACTCCTATGCAAATATAAAATGTATTATATATAAGTGTTATACTATTTGAATATAAAGACGTTTGCCAAGCCGTCATTTTGCTGTATGCGTTTATTCTGACCGCATGAGATATGCGTAACCAAACATTTTGCTTGAACAAGAATTATTGTTAAATATCTTTGTAAAACAATTTGAGCGTGTATTTAATGGAAAAACTCTTATTGCAAACGGGATAGCACCTCCTAATTTTTACAGTTAAGTTGCTAATCGAGCCCGTAAATTGCAATACTATCCGAGTTACCTTATCGATCCTTTAGATAAACTTTAAGGTTACCAATTAAACACTGTAATTAGATCTTTAAATATTGTTTTATCTGTATATATATTGATTTTGTCATCAATAAATTAAAACCAAACTAAATATTATTGTTATACACATACATTCAATGTCCTACAATCTGCTGTACCTATATTTTGGCATTGCAAAAGATAATGTCTCTGACTGATATTGATGTCTTATACTAAACCCATTGGATGTTGTATGTGTACTGACTAAAATTTGAGTCTTAGATACATTATTAGTTGTTTTTGGCTTTGAACTAGCTTCCAGCAAATGCGAGTACTCTCAGATCTGTACTCTGTGTCTTTTGTGATTTTGTAAGGATTATTTGTGCTTTTAATTGAACTGATGATTTAAGCACTTTTCAACTGATTTTCATAGTTTGTTTTGATGTTGTACTGTAACACCACTGTCCCATGTTAGGGGAAGGGTATGATGCCCACAAGCATGTCTTAACCACGCCACGTTCTGTATGTGCCTCACCAAGTCAGGAGCCTGTAATTCAGCGGTTGTCATTTGTTGCTGTTTATCATATTTGTTGTTCGTTTTTTGTTTTGTAAATAAATCCGGCCATTAGTTTTCTTGTTTGACTTGTTTTATATATCTCATTTCGGGGCCTTGTATAGCTTACTATATGGTATGGGTTTTGCTCATTAAGGTAGTCCAAAACTACAATTTTCACAGGTTTTGGCAAATTTTGAGTACTTATCCAAAAAATGTATTAAAAGGACATTCTTAACCAAAAAACATGATTTTTTTTGTAAATTAAACTTTATATTTTCTTTCGGATACACATTAATACCATTTGGTTAGTGACGTCCTTTAATGCAAACTTTAACATAAACATGTAAAATTGACAATTTTGTATCAAAATGCCTTCAACGTGTAGTGATGAATAACATTCTTATCTTACAGAGATAGGTAAAATTGTCAAACTATGTTTTAAGCATATGATATAGATTCTTTAATATTCAAACTCCAGTGCGAGTGATTCACATTCAGGGGAAATTGGCCCCTAACTCTTTAAGCATTATTTCTAAACAAACTTGATTTTTTGCTTGTTGAATAATCTTTTTATTTGTTGAATACATTTACCATCGTAAATGTCATAATTCTTCAATGTAATGCATGAACTTAGGCTTTGTACTTTATTTGGCCTTTTTAAAATTTTTGATTCGAGCGTCACTGAGGAGTCTTTTGTAAACGAAACATGCGTCTGGCGTTTTAAATTTCAATCCTTGTATCAATGATGAGTTTATCTTTGATAGCCATTCTAAGATTCTTCTAATAACAAGAATATCCAGGCGATGTCATTGCTTTCTGCTTTTAAGTTGTATAAATTAATATTCAGGTGGTTTAGATAACGATAATTCAATAATTTGTTTACTTTACATTTTTACTGTAATTTAGCTCTTGACAAAACAACTTTATCTTTTTACATATGCAGCAATTGATTCACTTCCGCAATTGCATTCTATATTTATTATTTTCTATGTAATGTTTTTCACATCAATGAAATGTGTTTATTGGCATTATGTTAACCGCGAGTAGTGCCTAGCAGAAAGCTTAAAAGAAGTTGAAAATAACTTTATGACTGAAGTACATTTAACGCTTTCCAAGATAAGTTTACGAAATGGGGTTCAGTTCTTTTAAAATAAAGACTATGTGAAAGGAATCATAAGGAATATGTATTTGATGCGTATTAATAAAAAAAGGGATCTAGCTGACAATATGGATTGATGGGTAATGTCTTATACACTGTTTGAAAAAAATATGTATCGCGATAATCACTTGTGGTAGTATACTTTTTTTTCGCAATTGTTACCTTTGGTTTCTCTAACTGTATCGTAATGTGCACCTAGTCCAATAATCCGGTCATTTGCTGTTCCAAAGTTAACGCCTCTTGATATACCGATAACTGATTGGAAATAATCCTAGAAAAATGTACGTTCATTTGCTCAATATTCATATTTCAGACAAATATTAAATTTACTAACAAATTTTTCCTTACTGGACGCGATATAGAGAGTAAAGTAAATGAGTAAATGCGCGTCCTCTCTGATCTGTACTTTGTATCTTTTTTTTTTTGTGTTAGTTTGCTTTGTATCGATCAAATGAACAAAGCCCTTTTCAACTGATTTTTATAGTTTTTTCTTATGTTGTACTGTTACACCAATGTCCTAGGTTAGAGAGAGGGTTTGGCACATGCAAACAATTTTAAACCCACTATATTCTGTATGTGCCTGTCCCAAGTCAGGAGCCTGTAATTCAGTGGTTGTCGTTTGTTCTCATATATCATCTTTGTTTTCGGTTATTGTTTTGTACCTAAATCAGGTCGGTAGGTTTCTCGTTTTAATTGTTTAACAAATCTCATTTCGGGGTCTTTTATAGCTAACTATTCGGTATGAGATTGCTCATTGTTGAAGGCTGTACGGTGACCTATAGATGTTAATTTCAATGTCATCTGGTCTCTTGTGGAGAGTTGTCACATTGTCAATGATACTGCATCGTCTTATTTTTATATGATTTGCTATATTTAAAGTCTGAATATCAACCTTTTAATGTCTTGTGATTATTTTGTGTATCGTTTGACTGCTGTCTAATTCGCGTTTAATCGGCATCTCCTGTTATTCATAAGATATAATTTTGCAATAGGTGGCGTTAGAAATGTCTGACAGATTACTTTATCTTCTTTTTTATAAGTTTTGTTTGATTTTTTTTCTTTAGAGAGAGAGCTTAAGATCTTAGCTTAACTTAACCCAAACATAAAGATTTTAGAGTAATCGACTACATGTATATTGTATTTATCTATCCTTTACATGCCACTGTTCAATGATAATTATTTAATAAGAAGACATTACAATTTCGGTCACAAAAGACAAACAGTTTTGATTGTGCTGAACGTGAAAGAGATTTAAATACTAGTAGCTGTGCATTCATTTCCATATATATAAAAGATTTCTGTATACTGACTTGGTTTTAAATAGAATGTTATTGTGTTTTGAGATACGTATTCCTACACCCACCGATTGATATCATATCTTAATGTTTTCAAGGACATTTTCAAACTTCGATTTTAGTAACAACCTTTACTACTATAGTACGAATAAATGCAAATTGACTTGGCATAGATATGAAGAATATGTGAACACAGATACTCTCATGTTTTTGTTTATTAAATCATTGAATTAGTTGCTTATATGTTTGCGATTTTTGCGAGAATAGAATTGCCACAATCAAATATTGAGTACATAAACGATGATCTACATTCCAGACGTAACTCTATTTTCTGCAATACAGACACAACCCTCCAGTCTTCAAACCGTTATATTATAACTTACAGTAGCGGATACAGAAGCTTCCTGAAATGTATGATATTCAGTTTGTAGTCTATATCTCAAGAATTCTTCATAAATATATTTTTTGGCGGCATACTTATAGTCTTTGTATATAAGATCGTGATGTCTGGTATCCGAAAAGTAACTCCGGATCGATTTTTTCATATACTGTGTATCAGCAGACTTTACACAATGCACTGTAATATATATAATTGATATAACAGGGTTATGTGCTCAATGTAAGAATATGGAAGAACATATGATGAATATTATTAGCTACGTAGTGTGCTAGTGACCCAATACGATATATATGAAATTAACTGACCCCATATATATCGTATTTGAGATTTCCAATAAAATGACATACGTACCTAACTCTACGTACGCACGTAACGGGACCGGTTATTGCTAACCTATTATGTTTGTTAAATGCGTCACTCAAGTTTTAACTAAGTATTCCTAAACTATTAAACCCATTCATGATAAATTTCATCAACATCAAATATTTCTAAGATGATGAAAAACGAAAGAAATCATGATTTTTATATATCACGTGATTATTGAGATTCCCGCCTAAACTTCACTGTCATAAGACCACGTATATATACGTATCTTGACCTATCATACGATTCATTTGAGTTGTCTTTCATGGTTTTGACCATGACTTTGTTTTTCGATATACTTTGTAAATGAATTTTATTATTTGATATTTGTCATGCTTTTATTTGTCGTTATCAGATTGGTGTCCCTTCTTCTTTTCGTTTTTTTTTTTTTAATGTTTTATAATATTTAATTTCCGTGGGTATTTATTATAATTAGATAGATTTTTTTTAGCAATTTCAGAAAAATCGAACTCAAAGTGTTAATCAGAATTTGTCTCTGTTAAAGTTGATAACTGGGATTGCATCATACTTTATTAAGCATCATTTGAAACGTTCTCTTCTTCTGCAGTTAATCTCGTTTATTTACAATCTTCGATTTTTTTTTCAACAGGGAAAACGTACGACAAAGGGATGTGTATATTTAAAAAAAAATAATACAGGTCTTGTACTTCTTTAAATTTTAATAGTTGACATACACTTTTCTTTCAAATGAAAGTCAACGAACATTAAAAAAAAGAATATTGTAATTGATAATAATGTATGTAAATAAATGTGTACACCAATTCGTTATATAGATTGTAATTTGGAAGGTGTACTTGATTAGCAACTGATGATTAATAATCTGCATATAAACATTGACCGCTGTGGATAGTAAACTACCAATTTACAGTACATAGTAATTGGCTAAAAAATATCCTGTCCCCAAGTATCTCTGATTAAAAGTGGATGAGAATGCCAATTTACATACAACTATAATGTCACTTCAGTCTTTACGGGAATTTTCTTTTACTCTTACTTATCCAATAAGTGGATTCTAAAACTATCATATATATTGATTGAGTTAGTGAAAATTTTTAGTTTCAATTTTTGTCTCGCTTTGGAGGTATATATATATATATATAAAAGTGACAACTCTGCGACAGGATCACCAGTGAAGGTGATACAAAACTGAAAAAAAACATTTTATATTCATAATTACTTTAAATATGTATACATTTGTGTAAACCAAGCTCTCTGAAGGAAGGTTTTTCCAGGTTGTTCTTATGTTGTGCTGTTGCACCACTGTCCCATGCTGTGGGGGAGGGGGTTGAGCATTCACAAACATGTTTAACCCGGCCACATTCTTTATGTGCCTGTCCCATGCCAGGAGCCTGTGGTTCACTTGTTGTCGTTGGTTCATATCTGTTATATTTGTTTTTCGTAAATTCTTTTGTTTTTTTTTAAATCAGAGAGGTAGTTTTCTCAATTGAATTGTTTCATATTTTTCAAGTTGGCCCCTCTTATAGTCGACTATACGGTATGGATTTTTCTCATTGATGAAGACCGTACGGTTGCCTATCATTATTTACATCCACTTCATTTCTCATAGCAATCATACCACATCTCCTTATTTTTTTTAACTAAATACGTTGAATATTTTCAGGTAACTAAACATGTGAGAATCAATTTTCAGTACCTGGTGGTACTTCAAGATCGGTACTCAGTGTCTTTCATCATAGAAATGTAATTATTTTGCATGAGCTTCATTCAAATTTGATTAGTCGAGCTATTTCCAACTGAATTTTACAGTTTTTTTATACTGTGCTTTTACACCAGAGTGTTGGCTCTCCGAAGTCAGGAGTTTTCAATTCAGTGGTTGTCGGTTACTTTCGGTCATATTTTGGTTATTTTTACTGGTGTAAAAATTATTTTTTCTCGTTTGAACTGTTAACACTTTTCCATGTCAATGCCTTATATACTAGTATCTGATAATAATGTATGAGTATTTGCTTATTGTTGACGACAGTACGAGCCACTGTAGTCGTTATTCACGCCATACCAAATTCTTTTTATTCATCTATCTGTATTTAAAATATCTGTTCGTCTTTTGGAAAGACCGGCGCACAGTTCTACTGGATATTAATAATAGCAAGTAACAAAGAGAATGGAAGCTGTGAAACACCACTTTACAATAAAAACTGAGCTTTATGATACAAAGAAACAAGCAGAAAAAACAAATAAATTATGCAACAAAATGTGTTATCAAAACAAAACAAGTGTTGCTAGAATAATAATATATGTACATAAAGCATAAAATATATGAACAGGTTTTTTTTATTAAATATGGGATTGACTGGTAGCAGGCTAGCCTTGATTACGGGTTCAATTATTTTGTTGGACCCCCTGATCGAATGACTTTAAGACTGGATTTTTCGGCTTCTCCACCAAGCATGATGCATTCATGAGTAAGAACAGGTAAGACAAGTGTGTCTTTATAGCGGTTACGCTATCTTGTTACCTAGCATATGAAAATGCGACTCTAAGTGTTGGGCATGTACAAAAAGGTATATGCATTTATCATTATCATTTCATCATCCTTAATATATATGTAATATTTGTCGCTGGATATAAAACATACATCAGTATCATCATCAACATAAGTACTATAGCTTGAGGCTCAATCTTCGTCGTTAATATTATAGCTTGATGCTTCTTCGTCGTAAGTATTATAACTTGAGGCTTAATTCTTATCTGATATTTTAGCCAATTTATGTCAAGAACTTATTTTACGCATGCATCTCTATGCTATACATAGTTTTTATAAATGTCAAAGTTAAAGCCAAAAAAGATCATAGAAGTATGTTTATCAAATGATCATGTCACAATTTAAACAGTAAGAAAGGGACTGACTCGTGAGACTGAAACGAAGCACAAAAACAGCAATTTCTAGTATTTCCAAATAAACTTCATGCACCAATCTGAAATAATCCACAGCTGCTGAATACTATCTTAAAAACAACTCCAACTAATAAATAGAGAATAGCTAGATATCATTGAGATGGGAGCCATCTCTGTGGGCCCCGCTGTGAATAATGTGTGGTAAAAAATTTGTATCTTTATCATTGGACATGGGGTTGTCAACTGAAACCGAAGTTTATGACCTTGACCTTTGACCTAGGAAGTTGTACATACATTATGACACACCCTCTGGTGTTGGTTTATATACATGTTAAGTATAAACTTTGAAATCATAACGGTTCTCTAGATATAGAGCGGACACAATTTGTTACGGAAGGACGGACGGACGGACAGACGGACGGACGGACGGACAGACTGATCACTATAAGGGCGTCCGCCATTCGGCGGGGCCCTAATTATCCAGGTATGAATAATGATCAATTATGTCGTACTGTTACACCACTGTCCCGGGTCAGGGGGCCCGCTAATATGTTTAACCCCGCCACATTATGTATGGATGTGCCTGTCCCAAGTCTTAATTCGTTTGTTGTTGTGTTTTCGTTCATTTTTTTGAACAATTATTTGACCGTTAGTTTTCTCGTTTTAGTTGTTTTACATTTGTCATTGTGTGGCCTCTTTTAGCTGACTATGCGGTATGGGCTTTGCTCATTGTTGCTCATTGTTGAGAGCCGTACGGTGGCCTTTAGTTGTTAATTTCTGTGTCATTTGGTCTCTTGTGAAGAGTTGTCTCATTGGCAATGATACTACACCTTGTTTTTTGTGCATATCACAAATTAAGCATAAAAAGTTTATAGACAGTCTAGAAAAGCAAGACCTTTTGTCATGTCAAAAGCACAGAGTGTCTGTAGGACCATCCATTAGTGGTCATAACTGTATAGCAGATTATATGTAGTTTCTATAAAATGTAATGATAATTTATCGGCAAAAGATACATGATGATTTGTTTTTTGGAATATTAATAAATAAATATATATATTTATATTAAAAGAAACATCAGAAACAAGAATATGTGTCAATTAGATTACACGTCAGTATCACATTTCTGTGTTAACTGAGCTACTAAATCCAGGACACAATACAGTTCAGTATGTAGTCTTAAACTTTTAAATCTCATGCGAAATGTCTAATGTTCAGACATTGTCGTTTTTAAAACGTATTTATCAATGTCAAACGACAATCATTGAATTTTTTTCGTGCATTACAATTTGTGATTATGGCCTGATCCAAGATATTTGAAAGAGGGTGTAGTTCCCGGTAATTGAATTTATACTGCCGAGCGGAGCGATGCGAAAAATAATCTGGACGATTATATACTAAAAATTTGTATAGATAATGTGGAAAACATGAGATTTTCAAAATTATTTGGCGATCAAAAGGGGGGAGTACGCCCTCTTCCTCTGTATCCGCGAATGCACGTTTAGGTTTACATGGACAAAAACCTCGTCGCAAACATTAGTATAGGTAAAGACGAAAAAAGTACTATTTGATAAATATATCAATGATATGAATTTCTGCCCACGTCAAATGATCTTCAATTAAATTATAGAAAAATAATTTTAAAAAAATTAGTCGCGTACACCTTTTAAATTCGGGTGTGTTGGAATCTACTTTAAACGTTAAAACTTTAAAAAAAAAAAAAAAAAGAGATAATCATCACGCTTCCGAATTCGTTATTGTAATATTTTCATGCTAAATTTTGACTTGGTAGTTTTTAAAATTCATATTTTGAGAAGAACTAAAATATGGGTCAAATGAAATGACAAGAAATGATGGGTGTATTTGATTACAAGTTGCTAACCTACTTATTCCATTAAAATATTTGTGTCAATAAAATCATTCAAAATTTAATGACAAAATATTTAAAGATTAAAAAATTTGTTGGGGTTGATTTTTACATAAAGTATATTCCAGCAAAAAATGCGTGTTCAAAGAGCAAAACATGCATGCAGTGTATGCTCCCCTCCGTCATGCTTCAATGCAATAGGACGAAATACGTTGAGTTAGGTCGGTTATGTCGAGTAATGTCATTTTATTGGAAATCTCTATTAGGTCACTAGCACACTATGTAACGAATGTTTCTTGCCAACTATCTTAACATGTGGTATTTAGACTAGTGGCATATCAAAGTGATCAAGTATTCAATACCGTTAGTATTAAGAACCTACTTCCATTCGTCTATACACAAACAAATGCCAACAATAACAACTTGTTAGCTTTAAATGTGTTTTATGAATTTATTTCAATCGTTCATTATCAATTTCTTCGTCTGTTGAAACCTTTAAGAATCATCCTCAACACCGTGTTGTTTTTATAAAAGGACATAACACCACTAATAACCGTGTATTGAAATAAGTCCCGCGTACTAACCCAATATGGAATATACACGGTCTCCACGCGGTTGCTTTTAACCAATCATATTCCTAGAAATGTATAGGAGGTAAGATAATATACGATATTCAATTCCCAAACAGCCGCTAGCATCTGGTTCCACACTAGTATTCAGTATCTAAATGTGATCAAAACTTTTAAAAATAATAGTACTTTATTAATTGAAAAAATTGGTTATCATATTTGAATCGGTAAATATATATAAAAACATATTTAGGTAATCTTTTTTTATTATCCCTACACAATCATCTCTCAATATGAGCACTTACTTATATCACAATTCTTTCCTTAAGAGTGTCCCAATCTATCAATGCTATATAATTATAATTACAAAACTACTGACACTCTAGTAACATGCACACAGTATATAACTATTGAAAGGCAGAAGAAGGATGTCAATTGGCATTCATTTGAAATAAAAAGAAAAAAGAAAAAACATAGAACTACATGTATGTATGAATAATTATGCATTAAGTCTTATCAACAGGATTGTCCAACTCTTCATAATTTATTCGGACGGTCATATTTAAAATCGTCGAAAAATAAAGATAAGAGCTCAGACAACAAAATGCTGGATGAGCCTAGCAGATCTTTCAATCTTCACGAAAATCCTATAAATAATATACACCGATTCATTCAGGAGTAATCGTTGTGAAATTTTTGTCCTTGATATTTACGAAGGAATTATATCGACATTGAAACTTCAGAACGGTTCGTCTCACTGTCAATGTTATCGGTCTAAGGTAGACTTTTGAAGTATATTTTGAGTATCAAGCTGGCACAAAGAGCCCTTCATACACGATTACTCTCGACTGAATCTGTATCTATGTCTTGCCTTCCTATATTCAAATTTAATGAAGTAGAAGAAATCAGGTAGGCCTAGTCAACATTTTTTGAAGATTTGAACTCTTTTTCCTTTATTTTCATCAATTTTGAATATTAATGTGCCACTTTTGGTCCTCTGTACCAAGAATGGCATGAACGTTGTCGGGATCTGTATGGCGTAACTTCGCTTTATGTATGTTGACATTGTAAATCAAGAAGGTCTCTCTGTCAGTTTTAGCGGTCTCTAGTTGTGTTTTGAAATTTAACTTGAATTTCAAGCTGGTGCATAAAATCATCCGTATCAATTAAATACGACGACTAGCCAACAATTCCTCATAACTGAATCAGTATTGTTGTCTTTGCTTAACTTTGCTCAAAATTTCACGGATAAAAAAAACAACAGGAAAACCAATCTTTTATTTTACAGAACACCAACCCATTTCCCTAAATTGTTAATTTTAAATGTTAAGCTGACACTTTGGTCCTAAAACGTCGCCGGGGAATTCTTTCAAAGGGAAGTGTACCATAATCCTGTCCTCAGAAGGCATGACTAGCTTTCAAATGTAAGGTTTGAGCGTTCATGAAGACGGTGAATCCAGACGCACAAAATTTCTGAAGAATTTAATTCATTGAATACAGTTACGGTTATTTTGCCTTTTATTGTTTAATGAAACCCAATTTGACCTGTTTGATATGCTATCTATATTGGCAGTTGCATATTTTTCCGCCTTCCATATCTTTATCTATACATTTATGGAGATCATGTTAAAAATGGCATTCTAGTTCCATTTTCTTGCTAAAGATTTGTTATCAGTGTAAAAGAGAGGCGAAAGATACTGAAGGAACATTCAAACTCATCAGTCGAAAAAAAACTGACAACACCATGGCTAAAAAAGAAAAAGGCCAACAGACAAACAAAAGTATACCAAACACAACATAGAAAACTAAAGACTGAGCAACACGAACGCCACCAAATACTGGGGTTTGATCTCTGGTGTTCCGGAAGGGTAAGCAGATCCAGCTCCATGTTTTTTGTTTGGTGGAATTATTCGGAGACAACGAGAACGTTAAAACTTTGAAAACTTGAAGGGGTCACTTATTTCTTTTTTATACATATTTTCTGTTTTAAATGATTGTTTAATTTTGAATCCTAAACAATAAAATGTATTTCATTTGACGGTCTAATATCAAATTAAATCGCTTACTTTACTCTACAAAATATCAAGGCATATTAAGGACATATATCCATCGACGCTTCACATTCTACATATTTCTAAGACTTTAATTGCTTAAAGTTTTCCATATTCACACAACATATACTCATTTTATATATATATAACCTTGATGTTATTGTCGCATCGTATTTGGCCAGAGGAGGAAATATAGTCGAAAAAATATGTCTCCGAAGACTAAAAAATTGTTTTCAATTCACTATTTAGACAGTCCACAGCAGACAGGTTGATGATATTGTTTTTTTTTTCTCATAACACGCACACATTAAACTTAACATGAATGATAGCTTATAAAATGTAAATCAATAAAAACATTTTTAGTTAGTAATAAGTTATCAATAAAAAAGACTCTATGTACATTACATAAATTATACTTACAACTGAACATCAAATTAATAACATAATATAGAAATACTGAAATCACCATTCTAATGGTATTTATAACAGTAAACAAAACACAAATGTGTCTAAGCGTGTCCAAACCATTTACAAATAAGTTTCAGTATTGTTATTTGACCTTGGAGATATCAATTTCAGATTTTTGGGAAATCGACCGACCTGAATAGACTATTTTCATATTAATTTTGACTCCGGATTTTATAATTTTTCGACAGGTTACCTTTTCTGTGGTAGGACATCCTGGTACCCGGTCAAGTAAGAGCAAGCAAAAGAAGTAAAATCAAACATATAATCGGTGCAATTTGGGGGGAGGGGAGGGGGGGAGTTTACTGTTTTCCGAAGAACTTATCGTGTATAGAAAACATAAAACAGTTATTTTCCCCCCCTAAACTGTACCGATCGTACGCTTGACTTTACTTCTTTAGGTTTCTCTTACTTGACCGAGTACCAAGATGTCCCACCACAGAGAAGGTAACCTGTCGAAAAATTATAAAAAATCCGCAGTCAAAAGTCGGTAATATGAAAATAGTCTAATGCGAAAGGAGTTTAATCAATTACGGATAAAAGGAGACATGGTATATATTTGAATGAGACAGTAACTAAACAATGCCACAATAGAAAAGTATCTATAACATATGACTAGCTTTTGATTTCATCGTTATTCGACATATTTTTAATTTCCAACTGTAAGATGTTAACAGTGTTTCAATGTCATTTGGTTTAGTTGATATCGAGGAGAGATCAAAAACAACAATGAAACGAAAGGAAATAATATTCGGTTTTTATCAACAACACCTAAAAGAGAGGCGAAAGATACCAGAGGGACATTCAAACTCATTAGAATGCTTTAAAGAAGACTTGTTGTTTTGATTTATTTCTAAACAGAGGATTTTTTTAAACTTTGTTGTTTTCAAAATTGAAGGACATAACTTGATAATGTTAATCGGGATTCCTTTATAAATCTTTTTTTATCTTGGTAAAAGCTCATCAAACATACCAGGCTTATATGTCAATGGCTATCGCATTAGTTGTATAAATACCATGTATGTACTATAAAAATAAGAAGATATGGTTTGATTTCCAACGAGACCAGAGACCAAATGACGTGTACATTAACTATGGGTCACCGGCCTTTCACATTTTCTGAAATATGCAAAAAAGGGTAACTGATACCTGGCAAAATAAGAACAAAACAGTCATAGAGGCAAAAAAGGAAGAATAAGACGATTAGAAATATTCCAGTCAACTAGACATGTAATTTGATTCGAGAGCCATTTATGAGTCTTACTACAGATGACCAGTATATTGACGAACGAACTTATCTCGACGAACGAACGCAATGGGAGCGGTAAGTGTATGTTTACAAACGTACTTAAACATAAAAGATGTTATCATGTTTGAGGTGTATTTGGATGCAATCACGTTAATAGATAGAAACGCATAAAATATACCGATTTTAAAAAAGGTTTTCATAATATAAATGAAAGCCGTTTACAAGTTTCCGAAAGTGTTACATAGCATACGATACAATGTGATTGTTTGTTATTGTTAAAAGCACATAGGATTATTCGAGTGCAACGACAACTTTTGCAATGTTCAAACAAATACGAATGCAAAACTTTGATGATTTGATATAATTTACAAAGTTATTGTTGTCCGATCGTATGTTTGCTCTGTGTTTTTATTGGGTATTGAAGTTTCAGGAAAAAAAATCTATCAGATTATAATAAAAAAGAAAACCTATAGCGTTTTGTACCAATTAAAACAAAAATTATTCTGTTTCAAACAATTTTTTATCATACCTGTCATCCTCTAACGATGGAAAAACTTTTTTAGTGTAAAATAAAAACTAGTCATAAGAGAAGATAAAGTATTTTGAATGGAATTAACTAGACTAAAGGCATTAGTGATCCATTAATGACGCATACGAAGACATTACATCTATTTTTAAAGCCTTACAAATATTAAGATGAAGAAAAAATATATGTCAAAAAGACCACAGGCGCTTGTGGGGTAGAATCCTTTCTTAAGTGTTTAATTTCTATTAATTATTCTTGATTTAAATATTAAATTTTCTATGTTTATACCACTTATCTATCTCTGCTGCGTATGTCTCACCTAGTTTCGAATGAATTTACCAACTCTGTTAAAACCCCTTATTTTATTATCCATACTTAAAACAACATTTTAGTATGGGTATCAAACCATGTCAGTGGAGATGCAATGAGTAAGTGCATAGTGGATAGGATGCAATGAGTAAGTACATAGTGGATAGGATGCAATAAGTAAATCCATAGTGGATAGGATTAAAATTTATAAAGTCCAAACACCTGTTCCTTCAGGAAAATTTATGGACCGCAACATACTTCCATACTTCGTCTGATATGGTTTGTTTGATAAACATGCAAAATTTTGCGTAGATTGTTGAAGTGCGTTTCACTGAGTTGAGTATTTAAACTATCATTAATTTAAAAAAATAATCAGAAAGCAAGTTATATGATTGATAAGAATACCATTTAGATGATGGTACATCAACCTTTGTTTATTTCGGAATTCAGATATATTACCTTTCAGTTTTGCTCAACTCATGGGTATTCTGTCCTTCCCAAGGGACTAGTCATTTGCATCCTGAAGGAGGGAGAAGGACATTAAAGGGGCCTCGAAAATGTTGGGTATGGGAAGGGGTGGTATTCAATAATTCAATACTTCAAACGCATCGAAAAAAATTTACAATATTTTAGCTGTTCTGTATTTCAAACATGAACAAATTAAAGCTAATTTGATAAAATACTTTAAATCAGTATCTGACTATTCAACAGAAGTGACTAACAGTTGATTCATATGTCATATCTGTAACTATTGTGTGATAATTTTTGGCTTCAAACTTCATTTCAATGTTTAATGTTATATTCATGTGAGTCTTGACCGTCTTATGTTTGTTTTTTGGACATGGAGAATGACAATAATAGGGAATAATGGTTTGATGTCTTTCAGGTTTTTTTTTTAGGTTTTTCTCGAAATTCTTCTTAATATTATACCCCTTTCCATACCATAAACTTTCCTTTATAACCTGGAGGTATGGAGTCAGCCCAACCAACGCTTCCCCTTACAATAAAGAAAATAATTTATTTTAGCAGGAAAGACATACATTTGTTTCGCCTCGCTCGGCTCAATTGTTCAGAAAAACACCTTAAGTCTCAACATGTTCTTCCAGGAAAGTATTTTTATCTGAAGTTTAGTTATTTTTTTAATAAAGAATATGAACAATGTGCTGAAATTGAAAGAAAACAAATAAAAGTAATTCAGATGTTTCCTTCCCTCTCCCAAATAAAAGAAAAAGACCAATCCCTAATAACAAACCTTAGATTTTTTTAACTTTTGAAATGTGGAAACGATTTCGTTTAGTTTTATACGTATTGATCATCAATCATATTAATATAGTAAACTTCAATATCTATCCTATCACCCTTTCCTTAACCACAAAACTCATTTAAACCCCTTTTAAAACCTCTATCTTCAAAGCAAAGGCTTTGATATTGAGTGCACCATTTGCTATTGTAGAAAACATTGAATTATTAATGAGAGGAGTTGGATACAGATACAGGTAATATCTTTTTTAAGGTGGCACGGTAGTATTTCCTGGCCCATAAGAGATAATGATAGCCTTTTTAGAATTTTCACCACTTTCTAACACTGCCAAAAATTCTACATTCACAGTTAACTGAAGTACTTTCATTTTACTATTCAGAAATGAATTTGAATATGTTTCATGACCGTTTCCTTTTTTTGCTATCTTTAAGAACCTAAGGCCACTAGTGCTTTTAGGTCTTTTATCGTGCAGTGAATACAAAATTTAAAAAAATTCTCAAAAATTCATTTTCATCTGTATGTAAAATTATTTCATATTTTTCTACACCTGATTCATCCCTCAGTTTGGGAAAGTATGTTCAGTTGATACTGTATTTTTTGTCCAATCATAATGTTCAGATACATTGACCTAAGTAGGGTACACAAAAGAGCAACCTAAATTCTGGAATGCAAATACTACCGTGCTACCTTAACCAAGACATTTCAAACTTGAAATCAGTCATGACACCTATGATGCATAGCCTTCTTACTATGTAACATATTACAATAAAGAATACTAGTCTGCACTTATTTCTTACTCCAAAAAAATGAAAGATTACACCCCTACCCCAGCTGGCAGATTTTCTTTTTTTTATCATCTTACCATTTTTACTTAAGGAGTGGGAAAAATCCAAATATATGATGTTTCAAATCAACACAGAAGTCAAACATGGTGATTCAGGAGGAATTATTGGATTGCAAACTCTATTTATAGTTAATCTGACAAAAAGAAACAGTTTAAGCACCAAATCATGAAAAATGATATTAAAGTCCATTCCACATTTTACAGCATGCCTTACATTACTTTAAGCATTTCCAGATTATGAAGGCAACACAACAAGATTATTTAGATGGCAGTTAACTATTATTCTAAAATCTTTTTGACAATACATGTACTAGAATATATCTCTAAGTTGGCTGTTTGTCTATTTCTCATGTATGCATTAAGTTTAATTATGTCCCCTTACATAATCATTTTACCTTTATTGTGCTTTTCATTGTCAGAAAATCAAAACAATTAATGACATTTGCATGGAAAATGAATAAACTATTTAATCTTGCTGATTAACAATCATAATTACATTCTTTGTCAAAAAAAAATGTCTTGTCAGTGTAAAGAAACCCCTATTGCTATCTCTATTTCAGCCAAATATGAGGGCTAAATGAATAAGTAAGGACCCCTTAACCACTTGCTGGTTCCAAAAACGCACATACTGGTGTCATGTTACCACAGAACTACAAATTAAACCTAAAGAAAACTAGTAAAGCTGTACTTGTGTGGAAAAAAATAAGAAATTATGCAATTTATTTATTTCGGTGAAAATAATAGGATGTACAGGCAAATAAAATATGTCGCGTCTCATATTCCAGTGGTTGCACACATGTGTCAGACACTGCGAAAAGTTAAAGCGAGCATTTGTAATTAAAAATATATTGCAAGTTACATAAAAATAATGAAGTTCTACTTCCTAGGTAAATCTTTACTTTAT